GCTGCTTGTGAGGGACCCCGCTGAGGCAAGTAGGACTTAACAGGCTTTAATAACATCTCAGTCTGGCAGCAGAGCTTTAGTATACTTAGAAAATCATCTTGAAGCTGCACCAGAGCCTTCTCTTCAGCTTGCATTATGGGGACAGGCAATACACCTTACCTGTGCCGTAGCTGCCGTGCCTTTGCTGCTGATGCAAGGACTTAAGCTCAAGACTGGGAACTCTTGACCTTCGGACTTGTATGATTCCAGGCAGCTCTGCCTTTGCCTGATCATCCCAGACTGGTACAGCGATTCCTCGGGAATCCTGCAGGAACAGCAGAAAATAACATCTCCTCTCCCCAAGACACACGGGCTGTTCAGAAGGAGGCTCTGTGGGGGTAAGGAGGGTGCCATCAGCACCTCAGAGTTCACCTTCAGAAAATGAGAATGACAAAATCTGTCTCAGCGCTGAACCTCTGTGAGCACTACAGGGAGACAGACACTGCAGAAGCAGCATCCATAGCTGAATGGTTGGCTTCTATAAGAGGGGAAAAATAAATAACACTGCACAAGGCAAACAGAGGAGCAAGAAATACACCGTGAGCAGGTGGCAGGTCAGTCTTCAACTTGCAGGGGTGGGAAAACTTTATCAGAAACTGCACACAGCCCTTTCCTTCTCGGTGAACGCTGCTGCAGTGAAAGAGCAAAGCTATAAATCATTTTCACATCCTGATTCTATACCCAGCGAATGCACCAGGAGGTCCCTGAGGGTCCCTCCAAAACTTTTGTGCCGTTCCTAAGGATAGCTCCTGGTAGTGACTGAGGGAATGGATGCAACGGATTCTGGAGTATTTTTGGTGCGAGAAAGGGATCTGTGCAAACGCAACTGAGAAAGTTCATATTAAACAATGAATTAGGCTACGAGTAACACAGTCTCCTGAATAAACGTTATAAACTCTTACAGTGGAGTTGGATAACAGAAAAGTATAACAGAAAAGCACCACAAATTTAAAGGACTGGAGTGTGAGAGGATTGGAAATAAGGTGCTTTTTTTCGTAAACAGAGTCACTACGTACCAAAACAACTCACCAAAGGCGATGGTGGATTTTCCAACCTGTGATACTTCCCTGTAACATCTGTCATGTAGCATAGGCAGGGAGATACCCGTGGAAGCCCTAAGAGCTGTCTTACCCAAACCTGGAGCAGCGCATGCCCTTGGGCACTGCAGGCAGGGCCTGGGCTGCACTCAGCTGTCCTTGTTGCTGCTCTGCTGCCTGTGGTGGGCCGTGAACAACCACCTCCAAACCAGATGGGACCTGCGACCGCTAGACCAGATGGTCTCTGCTAGAGAAAATAACCAGCGTTGTGTACCTCGCCAGCGCTGGAAACCCTGTGGCAAAGAGCCACGGAGGAACGTGGCTATTACTGCTTACTGAAAGCAGGATCAGAAATGAACTATGTCACACTGTGAGTGAGCTATGTTTAAAAACAGCAAACAATTCATCGTGCCTTTCTGTGAGGCCTGAGCAAGGGGGTCTTTGTGCCTCTTCCTCCCTCTCAGCTCTCTGGGGCAGGAGAAAGCTGGAGGGAAGGACCATAGGTCTGGGAAGAAGTGAGGAATGAGGGTCCGAGGTTGAACCGGAAGAATAAGAGGTCCACAAACACTGCTGCTGGGAAGCAGTGGGACAGAGATGTAATAGGGAGAAGAGGACCCATTGGTGATGCCATCGGGCACTGAGTGACTTCTGGATGGCCTGACTCTGGGTGGTGCTGAGGTGAAGGGGCTGGGATGCTGAGGGGGCCTGGAGTGACAGTCAGGGGGAGGTGTGGGTGGCTGGAGGAGCAGAGGAAAGATCACTGGGGGTGGGAGGGACTAGCAGTCCCACTGGAGTGCTAGAAACCAGACTGAGATCATTGATCCGTACCTAAGTTCAGGATAAACGTTTTCCAGGTACCACTTAAAGCTGTGGCATTTCAACCTCTTCCGTAGCTCCACTCTGCTCTGGACACTGTGGGGAGAAAATATTGTGGAGATGGAACAGAAATCACGAGGGCTAGACTCAGGCATCAAAAGGGAGGATGAGAGAAAGCAAACAATGCACAGAAAGCAAATATCAGAGCATCAGGGAGATTAGAGATCATGTCACCTGCTGCATGACCTTGGTCAGTCATTTCTTAATCTCTATCTCTATGGGAGTCTCAGTGGGTAAAACAGGGTGATGACATTGCCACTTTACCAAGGAGCTTGGAGTTTGATGGATGAAAAGGCACATAGAAAAGTACAGTCATTTAAAAATGATTAGTAACAAACATACTCTATCTACAGTAAGCATTAATGTAATATAATAATGTACTAGGAAATGAATATATACTATTAGAAGTTACTATTAGTTTATAGGACTACAGACCGCCTTGATTCACAGGAGCACTGAAACACACAGTTAAGTCTTAATGAACTCAGCAGAACTTAAATCACATGGTCAAATCCTTCCTTCTTTCATTAATCAGGGCCACATTTCTGCTGAGGGATCAATCATGTTGTATGGGACATTCTCCGGGCTCCATTCCTCGTTAGGTCAGCCTCTACTCATGGAGCTGTTGTGAGCTGGCACTTACGCAGCAGTAGGAAACCTACAGTACTTTCCTTTTCCATAGTCTGTCTTCTCTACATCCACATTTATTCAGTCAGGCAGAGCTATTACTTCATCCCATGCTAACAGATGGGAAGAGGATGTGAATTCTGTTGAAATAAGTTGTTCTCCAGGATTTTAATATACTTTCCCTGGAAACTGAAAAGTAGCCAGAAGGAATTTGTTTCTGGATTTGGAAACTTTCTAAGGAAATAAAGAGCATGTGAAAATGAGAAATTAATAAAAATATGTAAACTCTTCTTGAAAAGGAGAGGTTTCTGACTAATCCAAAGAAAGAGTGGCAAATATTCTGAAGGTAAAACATTTGCTCCGCAAAGCAAATGCATTGCATTTGTAAAACATTTATTTCCGATAAAGCCTTTCTGCATTCAGAATTTGCCAATTTTCCTGCTGCTCGGCTGCCAGTAAGACCTCTAAACTCTCACCCCAAACTCTGCCCAGTGCCTAGAACCAGTTGAACATAACGTCAAGGACATGAAATGGGTTGAGGGAAGTCTTCCCTCACCAAGGTTTGGTTCACTCATTGAGATGAACTAGCACGGCATATAAACTGGCTGTTTATATGTTTTGTTGCCGTGCTTGTAGCATCTGCCCACCATTAGCACTCAGTTCAGTGTTACTACAGAAACAATGCAGGCGGGTTTCCACAGCAAGGCAACGACACTGCGAACGCCCACTGCAGCAGGCAGATGGGCTGGGTGCAGGCAGGGGCCCGCTTGCCACCAGAGAAAGACACTTACTTTCCATAAGGCCTTCCTTGCGCTGCAGGACGAGCCGCGTAGTAGTACTGTTTGAACTCGTCCATCCACACCTCCGCTGTGCGCTTGGTGTTTCTAAGGGAGGCAATGAAAGACAAGTGAAACTAAGGAAGCCTGAGGTGAGACCCACATTTCCTAAAGGGAGGCCCCTTATAGACTGCCTATTCCACCCCACTCTGCTCCCATCTTTGACTTGGTCTTTGGCTTGACCCAAACTGCGTTTGAGCCAACTCACTCCTCGCTACCAGAGGAGATATTCCTCCTCCCTGTCACTCCAGGCACTAAGCACAAAACAGACCACAGCTCAGGCAAGGAATTCACATCTCGGGCTCAGCTAGATGCTTTGTATCCATCAGACTCACAAGCGCGGCTTCTCTTCCTTAAGCGTCATCTCCCAGGCAGACCTATTTGGGCTTTTCTTTAGCAGCTGCAATGCAGCTCTGAAAAGTAGTGCAAAGTTTGCCAAACACTGAGGCCAAATATTTTGTGTTAATCCTGTATGGACTTTCCTACTCTTTGCACCCTTGGATCTCACTGCGGCACAGAAGAAGTGACAACCTTCACGTGAACCCAGCATGAGGCTGGAGCCTGAGCTGCCTCTCACACAGCTGCACAAGAAGAGGCTGTGTGGAAAAGAAAAAAAATCAATATCTGGCAGAAACACAGAGATATTTTTTGTTACTATCTCTCTTTAAACATAGGTGCCTGAAGGTACACAGAGCATCAGGTTGCCAGACTCTGCTCCTCCTCTCAGTCAGTAGTATATATACTACTCAGTAGTGTATATACTTCCACGTTAAGCTTAAGGCAGATAGATACCATAGGGCGAATCAAAACCCAGCTCCTAATGCCTAAGGACACGTATCTCCAGTTTACTTTCCAATCCCTTGCTGATTCATGGTGCTTTTTTTTCCTCTCTCTCTAACGTCACTGCATTAGTCTAAGCACTCTTTTTGAAGTATCTAAATACAACATCTACATGTGTATCTAACCTTCCTCAAAGTTCAAGGTATTTATGTCTGGCTTCCTGATCTCATTTTGGGTTATAGGAAACGTGGGAACAAATGCCAAGGCTTACATCTAGGTGTTGATTCAAATCTCCCCCAAAGTCCAAAGGTGCCTGGGGTATCAGCCAGAAAGAGCCAGCCCATTAAAGTTCCCCTTACTACTCCTGCAGGCAGCGTAAGGTTAGACACTGTGTCCACACTGGTTTTCAGTGACTTGAAAAGTGGAGCTTTGGCCACCCCCCAGCCTTTAACGCAGGGGTCTTACTTCCTTACCGAAAACAAGAGCCCCCACGGTGTTTTCAAATTTGTGCCCTCCCTCTTCAGGTTAGTGACACCCTTCTCTGCTCACTGCCATCTTTTTGAAGCAAGGTGATACAGAGCCACCTCTGGTTACCCATTTGAAAAGTGCCTTTCCTGCCTCACATGCTGTGGTATAACTGAGATTATTAGGTATATTTATTTTATATATATATATATATATATGTATGTATGTATGTATATTAGGTGTATTAGGTATAACTGAGATGTGTAATTTGCATTCATTATCACATGCAAAACCTAGAGAAGATGTAGAGAGAACAAACAGGTTACTGGTGCAGGCAGCTGGGTGTTCACAAACGTTACCAACGCTTTTTATGATACTAGGAAACCCACACAAAAAGGAACCCACGGTGTGTAAACACATACAAACGCAGCTTATCTGAGAAACAATCCTGTATTAAGCATAAGTGCTGCCAGTGTTTTTCTCTGTTACCTACTTAATAGATAACCTTCAGCCTAGAGCTCTGAGAAGAGGAGGAAATCCATTCCCGACTTCACTGGTTGTTCCCATCATCTCTCTCCAACTTCTTTCCACTTCTGGACTGCCTCCTTCCTTGGCCAGCTGTCTCTAGGGACTTGGCCCATCTTAGCTGGCCAGGTTCTGCCTCTGTTCTTGTGTGTGAAAAGCTTCTGCTGGGACTCCCCAGCTGCTCCCTCAGGATCCCAGGGTCTGGGCTCATCCTCCACAGGCCGGGTATCCAGCAGCCAGCGAGCATGCAGCTGATCACTCCCCGTCCCACAGTGCTGAGCAGCTTGGGCTCCGCTCAAGAGGCGGTACCAGCTCAGAGACAAAGCTGCTTCCCTGGCAGCTCAGTCCAACACGCTGCTCTGCTTCTCTTTCCAGAGCTTCTGCTTCCTGAGGGGCATCTGGAATCACATTTTCTCGTTCAGCTGAGCCATGGTCAGCCCTAAGCTAAGGTCTCTCGAGACCGACAGACATTGCTGATAGTCTGATTTCAGGTCATTATTAAGTGACTTCTAATAACCTTAGACCTCTGAGCCATTTGCTGTTCTGATAACTCGGGCTCAGGGAGCTGCTGGGGCTGCCCCGCCATTTCAGTAGTCATGAAAGGTAACGTTAGAGCATCCCATTTCTGTCACGCTCTCGACTCGGTGGAAACGCTAAGGGAGACGGTCACAGTGGCTTTCATTTGCTTTGGCTCAGGAGAGTCCTGCTCATGGATATTTCCAAATGTTTCACCCAAATCTTCTCCCCATTTTCTCTGCTCACCTTCTAACACACAACCCCTTCTCACAAGTCAGCACTTTATTCCATTTCACAAAAGCAAGGCAAGTGCAAAATACCTACTTAATGTATGTATTGGCATTTCCCTCCGGAAAGACGTACGGATGTTTCTTCCGGAAGACATGTCCAACGCGGCTGCAGGGGATAATTTCAAGGCTCCCTCCACACATCCACACACGGAAAGAGATTTCTACAAGAAAAGCAGCTTCAGCATTTTATCTTTCTATCCTAAAGCAGGGTGGATCCTGGTGTTATCTCTCATTTCATCCTCTGCTACATTAAACTGGGGTAAATCAATTACCAGAGGGGCTCTGCTAGGCACAACTCTCTTAAAAGTGCATTTCAAAGCTTCTTACAATCTGTTTGAAGTTAGCGGACTTGAAATCTGCCTATTGCACAGCAGGTGCTATCACAATGGGAAGAGCTAGATGGTAAGTAGGTCCCTTTATATGCAGCACAGCTTACATCTCAGAATCATCTTGCTATTTTGTGCTCCCGTAATTACTTCTGCACTGCATATTTCAGAAGCACTTTCCTCTGAGGGGCTGTCAAGGCCACCAGGAGAGGCCATGAATTCAATTTATTAATGACTACAATGATCATTATCTTTATGAATCCAGGCCTGATTCTGCAAAGTGAAAAGAGCTGTGCATCCATCAGCTGTCCCAAAATAGATAGGAGCTTACCCCGGGCAGGACGTACTCAGGTGAGCTCAGCCTGGGCCCTGACTGCCAGCACTGCACAGGAACAAGACACACACATTTGCACTAGCAAAGGTCGGTGCTGGGTGGGACTATTCCAAAAATCTGGATAACTTGCCACTATAAGACATGTCTCCTTATTGCCCTCAAGCCGTTTCCTGACTGTTCCACTGGGCCCTTCTGGAGGAAGAAGTCTGTGGCACAATTGGCATCATGAGTTATTGGACTCTTGGTAGGTAACTGTCAAGGTAATATGGGTAAGCAGAATAGCTGATCTAATGGGTCCATCTGGTCTTAATGTCTATGAAACTATGAATCTGCAGCTATATTGCCAGACAGTCATGCTTAGACAGAACCAGCACAGTAAAGAAATGAAATAAAAAGAAAATACTTTTGCAGTTGTTCGCATCCTGCTTTATGAGCTGCTGACAGCATGGACCTACATTTAGCATATACCTCCTCCAAAAATCAAAAATTACTTTTCACTTCCCCCCCCCCATATTTAATTACAGAAGTCAGACAGGAGGATACCCATCCGCTTTGCCAGCTCATGCTCCCTGCAGTCCCTTTACATATGCTAGCACTACGGTGACTCTTCCCCAGGTTGGATCCAATGGCAAGACCAGCCCCAGGCATGGGGAAGGCTTTTCAGGCACTGCTGGCAGGCAGGCTAACTCCTAGTCCTCTGACAGCAGGCAACGTCTACCTGCCAACCACCCTGGCACAAAGCCGCCGGCCCTCAGAAAATGATTCACAGCTTTTAGCACCTCACTTGAGGTGTTTGCCCTGAAACTTGGTGTTTTTAACACCAGCGCCAGGCAAAGGCGCCTGACTCTCACAGGCCTTCTGCTCCCAGCACGCCCTGCTGCTCCTGAAGCGATGCAAACTGGAGGCCGACATGGCCACAGAGCCTTCTCACCTTAATTTTTGGGTCCAAAATTCAAGGCATGAGACCACTGCTAATAGCTGGCACTGGCAGAAGGTGCCAGCAAAGGCTAGGGTGGGAAAGCATTGCAGGGAGGAGAAGGGATTTTCTTCACAGAAATCCCTTCCTCTTCCTTTCAGTGCTGTGTTTACAGACAAGAGCTGCAACGACAGCTGGAGCCTCACAACTTTCCCAAGCACGAGGCATTAACAAGCCAATAAAATATGCCCTTGTGTCATGTCCTAGTGCTATGTTGGGAGCAACCCTAATCACAGCTGCAGGGAAATGAGATTATAGCAGGATTTGGCCACTCTAAGCTGTTGCACGCAGTTCTCCTCACACGTGGCTGTTGCTCCTTATTTGCCTGCATGTCACAGTGCTGACCACACCATAAGTATTTCTGAGCAAATTAGAAGGGGGCACTGATAAAAGAGTACAATTAGCCGAGCAGCTGTGAACCGCTGTGCAGATACTGCATTATGCTTTCTTCTCTTCTGGTCCTTCTGTTCAACCTGTGGCTCTCTAAAGCGCTCCAACATAAAGGCTTACACAGTTCAGTCCTTGCCTGCTCATAATTTAAGGCATAACAAAGATGTGGGCTGAGGCGGTCTCTGTGCACTACGGCTTGGAATGAAAACACAGTGCTTGGGAGGCTGGAGATGGTGAGGAGTCAAAGCTCTCTGCTTCAGAGAGTTTGTACTCTGCAGACCTTGCTCTAATCCCAGCAGAGGCAATTAAAGCACAGTTTTCTGTAAGTAGAAATAACCCACAGACCCATCCCTGGCAACTAACAAACAAGGTTCCCAGAAAACCAAGAGCTAAATGCCTTGGGAGGAGGTAAAACCAAGGCATCAGCAAAGTTACGGCAAGAGGCCAATTCATACAAGTCAGGAGACCAGGAACCAGGAATGCACTTCATCTGACCAGGTCTCTCCGAGACAGCTCTTCTAGGATGTGTTGCGCTCTTGAAATTTTAAATCCAGTTCTCATTGCACTTTCAGTTTTGCCAGTGCCATTGCGAGACTCATCTGTGTCCTGTCAAAGGCCTTTCAGGGAGTTGCTACAAAGCAAGGAGCTCTGCAGCATCTCTCTGTGCTAACTTGGCCAAGCAAGATCTCCTGCCCTGAAAGAGCAGTCCTGGGTGAGGAACCACCTCTGTTCATCCCAATGACGTGCAGCTGCAAGTATCACTAACTTCATCCCGCAGGACACCAAGCTGCACAGTGTGTGAGGTAGGTGAAGAGGGAAGGACAAATGGAGATATCCAGTAGCAACAGCTACCTGGTAGCAATGGTAATAAACCCATGAGACTTCACCCCCATCTGCTTTTCTGACATTGCTGTTAGCCAAAGATTACTCATAGGCTGCCCAAGCGTGAGGTGGTGACTCTTTCTTGAAGATCTACATACGCCACAGCTGGCATCCACAGCAAGGAATATGGTTGGGCTAAAAGATCTAACCCAGCCCTTCACCTGTGCACAGCAGGGTATGCTGGGCTTGGCCTTAGTGTGGCAAAATAGTTTCCACGCTTCTGGCTGACCTGCGAGTCCTTCTACCAGCAGTAATCAATTCCCCTAATGGGGATTAAATAACTTTAAGTAAAACACCTAAAATGTCCTTCTTCTATTTCCAAACACATTTGCTTCTGCTTTGCCTAAAGTCTCTAGCCCTTCCAGCTGTCAAGTTAATAACACTAAACAGAGAAGTGATGCTCCCCTATGGGCCCTATGGCCCCTGCATCCACCCTAAAGGACTAACCTACAGGAGAAATGCATGTTTCACTGCAAATACCCCAAATGAGCAGCTGCTCGGTCAGCTCCTGTTCTGCCACCTGCCCAGAACTGACAGGCTACAGTAGGGTGAGGGTAGGGCCTTCCTCATTTGTGGAGGAGAGCCAGACACTATGGGAGCAGTGTCGTAGACTGTTACATCTGTGGGAGATGCAGCTTTGAGACGGACGTGCTTCTGCTTGCCAGCAGATGGTGAAGAGGGAGCTGAGGGCAGGATCTGATCTCAAGGATATGCTGCCATGCAGGCTAAGACTACTTTGTTCCTGTATTAACCTACCTTGTCTTTTCCCTTTCTCACATGGGAGCTGAGGCCGGTTTGTGAGCAGGTCGGAGCTCCGAGGCAGCGCTACGCTGCGCAGCACAGACGGTGCCTGTTCCATCAGGACCAGTCTCGAGGGGAATAGTGCCGGTAATGAAACAGCATGCTACATAAGATAGGCAATAGCCACGTATGAGGAGTGCAATGCCTCCCAGGGCAGGGCATCAGACAAGGCCTGACAGCTGCCAGGAACGAACTTCCCTGGAGGGTTGGATGTTCTGTAACTGTTCATTTCAGGTCCTTTCCTGGAAGCAGCTCGTGCTGGTTGCTGTCAGAGACAAGCAACAAGGAGAGACGGACAGTGGGTCAGATGCAGTGTGGTAGTCCCTGTCTTTCTGTCTAATTCCCTTCCTGAATGCATTGCTTGGGCCATTGATCCACTGGGGGAGGTGGGAGGACTGCTGTTCTCTGCTAGATTTCCTTAGATCCACGCTGTTCAGAAGAGCAGATGCTTCAGGTCAGACCAGTGGCAAGACACCCACCCACAGAGAGAAAGCATGAGGGAGAGAGAGCCTACTGTGCAGTGAGATATAAATAAATAAAATATGTTAGAAGAAAAAGGCATATGAAGAAAACAACAGTGCCAGGCAGTAGATGGGTTACTGCAAGGCAGCAGCATCTGTTCCTCTGAATGACTGACAGTGTTGCTGTACGTGTTAAGACACAAGACTTTTTTCTTCCTTGCTAACCACGCTTCCCAGAGGTGCTAGCTATTAAAGCCAGATTCTGATCTGTCTCCCTGACATCAGGTGCCTCCTTCTTCTTTCATAGATGCAGTCTATTGCTCTGATCCACAGCATCATCACAGCTTCAAAGAGAGAACAGCCCAGCCTGATCCATCTCTGTTTGACATGGGGGAAAAGGGACAGGACTCTCTGATCAGCCCTCTCAAGTTTACAGGGGATTGCTTAAAGCCTACCTGCCCCCATGATAATGGGCAAAGGTGGATTTAGGTGACTTAATTTAGGCAGGATCTTAACCTTTTTCCTCTAGGGAAAATCATGTTGTCATGAAGAGCCTGGCAGCCTTCACCCATCTAGCAGTACAGGAATGGATAGGCAGCCATGTCACCTTGCCACCAGTTTGCAACTTGCCAGTGGAGCTACTGTTTCAGGCACTCTGCAAGTTCAGGGAGGCGCTGATGCCTGAGTTCATAGCTTTGAAATGCTATCTTCAAATATCAGAATAAGGCACATCTGTGTTGTATTAATGAGAAAATAAGACCAGGAAGGAAAGGCAGGCACGTGTGGTGCTCTCTAATATGCTGATATTACTAAAGCTGAAAACTCTGGAGTATTTCCCTATAGAAAATTAAAACAATGTGGAAGGCAGAGAGCACTAAGAACAAGTAATTGCTCACTTCCCATCATTCATGGTCAAGGATCGCTCACTCACCTGAGACTATCTCCTATGAACGTAAGTGAGAGAAGCCACACAGAGCATTAAGAGACTGACCTTGTATCCAAGTCACACGACTCGAAACAGAATCAACACTGCAAGTGTGTACGAGGAAGAAGAGCGGCTCACCAAAGTTCTCTCCGCCCCAGATGTCCATGGCACTGTCATACTTCCCCAGGTGGTTGAACCAGGCTTTGTCAATCACAAACAGCCCCCCGGCAATGATAGGAGTCCTGCAGAATTGGGAAGGAAAGAGGGGACAAGCTCTCACTCAAACACTGCTGCAGCATCAGCATGCACAGAAGCCCTTCCCTTTGCCTCCTGTTCCATCCTCAGGACATTACCTATCTATCTCCCTCTTACCAAACATACTTCAAAAAGCATCAGTGCCTGCCTTTCAGCTGCCTTGGTATTTTGCTGTCAATCATAAATTGCCTGGTACTTAATGACTGGCTAATGCACCCATCAGCACGGCTCCTACAAGCCCAAAGTTCACAGCCCTGATTGTAGGCTTTAGCATCAGAAATGCACTTAGCGCTTGGGGGGTTATTCACATGACATTACTCAGATGGGCTTTTTGCCTGGAGCTAGCCTATTAAAGAGCACCATTCCACTGGGGAGGGGGAAGGCAAAGCCAATTCAGAAGGGCTTTTTAAAAGCCATCACTAACTGCTTGATCTTTATTTCAAAACAGAGTTATTTTTCATTCTTTGGATTAGCTGAGAAAAGCAGCATAGAGAAGGTATGTGGAGGAGGGGAGGGCAGATCCAGAAGACAGCTTTAGGAGAGTCGCCGTTTGCTCCGACAAGTCCTCTTTCCATGAGCCCATCTCATGTATTGCAATTGCAAATAACAAGGATGCCTTAGCATAGTCTCAGGAGGAGCTGGCATGGACTTCCTGCACCCTGATGAGTCTCCACAGTGCTCTACACGGCAGGATGATCAGGAACACGAGATGAGCCTTTGGGAGGTGAACAAGAGCTCTTGTTAACAACAGCATCGTAAGAAGAAACAATGCTTATTCCTCGGCAAAGAGGATCTCCTGCGAGCTTTCCGGCAATCTGAGCTCCCCGCAACACCTCGTCTCTTCTGTGCTGCACACCTCAGCAACCTCACGGCTGGTCAGAAGGATCACTGGGATACCAGTCACTAGCACTGAGCTG